CGAAATACACTCTTAGGCGATATTGGAGGAAATGAGAGCACATAAATGTGTGAATTAGTTGATGGGCCATATAAGTGGGGCTGAGAGAAAGAGATGAGATACATGAAGGTAGAACAAAAATAGGGGTGAAGAGTTTAGCCAGAACGGTTGAACATAAAATTGCCTTCACTTGTCACTGATAAGTTGTAACGCTGCGCTTACGATGGGGTCTCTCACTGAGGATGCCAGCGAAATGTTTGGCAATGTACCTAGCCAATGGTAAAATGCTGAAAATGACGAATACACAGGACTAGGTACGTTCCACAAGGTCTCCCTGACGCTCCGACCAAAACTATGGATTCTTGCTCTGATGTGGTCTGTCACACTATAGAAGAAAGCCTATCACAGGTTCATCGGGGCCAAATGTCGATGAGCCGATGACTTCTTTGCACAGTACAACAATGTTCCTCACGCCTCAACCCTCCCTCGGTTTCCGGTAAGACCACATCACGAAATCCTTCCAACCAACTTTTTCTTCGAAATGTAAAGTCGTGTCAAAATAATAACAGAATATTTTCTATATATTAATACTACGCAATGCTGCTATGTATGTAGGAGTGTCACAGTGCACACGGGATTTTCAAGAGAAGCCAGGCCCCTTCCATGCTTAATTTACAGTTGTAATGCCGATTGGGTATATTTATCACTGCAACCGACTGTCTTATATTCATAATTTGTGGATTTGTCAACGATCAGTAGGTTTTTGAAAACTGCTGCACTGGCCCTAATTCGAAATAGAGATGCCCGACCTATATATGAGTATTAGTTAAAGATACAAGTAAGCCTAACGATATACGACGCCAAACTTGCCTCGAAAGTCACCTCTGTTATGTGAACCTCTGGAAGCATTGGCCGTATGGGACAATGGTGGCATGTCGAAGAGCTAATGCTTAATATATTAGAAATTGATAAGGGGAAAATAAGGCATATGAATATATAAATACAGAAGACGGTTTTAAAAATCAAAAATAAAGCGTTTTTGATACATATCAAGGGGAACCATGCAAACTTCCAACTAGAAGACTGTGTTCCAAGCAAAGTGCTGCTAGCTCTTGACAAAATTTTTCAAGAATGATAGCGGCAAACGCTAGATTACTCGCCTTTGTATCAATCATCTTTAAGTTTAGTTTAGTGTAGTGGGTATTGGTGTGTAGTTCTTGGCTTTTCGGAGCTACTCTCTCCGGATTCCCAGAACTTATTGAAAGACGTTCTGGACCATCATGGCGACAATCTGAGACCGATTCAAATAATTTGGGTAGCTGAAATGCAGATGGAGACAGCGTTCCTTCATGTAAAATAAAATTCCTTTGAAATCTATTTGGGCTGATCTGCAATTGATGATGTCCCGAGTCAGGAGTGCTGATCTCTGATGATATTGGATATAAAAACTCAGACTGGCTATTTTTAGTGGGCGGACTTGAGAAGGAAACATCGAAAGGGCCGATATTTCTAGCACTAGCGGTCGGATTGTGTTCACTCCTAATTGGTGAATGCAGGATTCTTGAAAGACTGGCAGACCCAAATGGACACTAAAATATTGTTAAAAGAAATAGATGAGAATCAATAAAATTAAACTAAACTGACGCAAAAGTGGTGAGCCCATGCAAATGCTCCGTCTATATACAATAACGCTTGGATAAATAAAAAAGGTATGGAAATTAAAAGACTAATTTTTTTTAGAAATGCTGAAATCGATA